GTATAGGAGCTGTCACTGTCATCCCACTGCACTTTATCCAATATGCTGGTGGAAGTTTCCCCAACACAAAGGGGAGCAAAGCAAACATCTCAGCAATACCAAATGCTATTTTTTTTTTGCGTGTGCCTGCAGCCAGCTTGTAACTCAACACCTCGCAGCTAAAGTGAGGACATGGCCCAACCTTTATTAGCATTTCTGAGAAAATATTGAAAGGGCCAACTTGAAGCAAGCTACATGCATTCACCCGATGGATTATGAAACCACTTGAACTCCTTGCTGCAGAATTTACCCCCCTGACTGCCTAATGTTAAGCACAAAGTGAAGTCACTGAAGGCAGCAGATGCCAAAGTTTCAGGCAGAATTTCAGAAGCCTCTTTCCTCCTCTATATGACCTGAACTTTTCAGATGCGTGGTATTTTATACGCAGCTTTTGGTCCATCTTCTGCAACTATTCTTTTGTTGAAGTTGTGTTTTTCTTGCTAATCCTACTACTTGGAAAAACAGCTGCCTGTGCTCTCACAGCAAGTACTGTTCTGTTGCAGGAGCCATCCTAGTATTTGGGAACCAGTCAGCTTTAATGAGAAGCACCACAGCTCAGCTCTGACAGCCAAGGCCACTATACAAATACCTTGCTGGAAGCTATTCAATAACAGGACTGTGTGTGCGCAGCGCCAGTAGATCATCTTAGTTTGTGTGACTATTCTATATGCAAATATTTGGGGTTTTTCTCCCTTCAAGATCTGCTAGCCATTTTCAGCACAATACAATTAACAACTTCTATCTCCATTAATGTGCCTTCTGATTCATCTTTTGCGTCTCGTCCTATACGCAGTGTTGCTTCTTCAGGCCCACTGTTGTACGTTCAGACACTCGTTTCATTCACATCCATTTCTCAGCAATCAACAGGTCTCAGGAAAAGCAGAACTGTCCAGGTAAGCCATACAGCTGCACGGGTATGTCACGTCAATATTTGCCATGAAACAAGGGAGCACATGAGAGCACATACTGGCTCAAACAAGCAACAAACTCATCTGCACACGTGATTAAAAATACCCAAAATAAATGTAAATCAAATTAGATATATATGTTGTCAAAATCTGATAAAGTGACTCAGCTAAAGTCCTGTCTCAGTTTTCAGACTGAACATTACATTAGGAACTAGCTTTAAGGAGGTACTGACCCTCCTCTCTAAAGGATACAGATCAGCTATGGGCAGATTAATGAAAACGATCAAACTATGGGGAAAAAAGTGTGTAGCCCTCCAGACTTCTGAGAACAGATGACAAAGCCCCAGAAGATTACTTATACCAAAATTAGACTTGAACATAATTTCAGAAATGCTCTGTGGAACCAGAACTGCTGTTCCTACTATCACAACCTTACCACACGGTCCAACTTTTGATGAAGGCATCACCTGGACAGAAGAAATGCAATAGAAATTGCCATGTTGTCACATCTGAGTAATTAGCAGTTAGGTTTTTCAGATGTTTCCCCCACTGCCCCACCCTCTTCTACACAGTACTCGTTGGGGAAATAACTGGCTTGGACTGATACAGCCTATTGTATAGGGTGAATCCAGCAAAGAGTGGTAAGTTGGGCCTTTTGCTCCCACCCCAGAGATACCAGAAAATAAACCAGGTTACCTGAAAATGGATAGAGTATCTAAAAATCAAGAGACAGGGAGACTGCCTACTAAAGCAGACTAAAAGACACCCTCGTTGGCATGCTTACAGGGAAGGTGACAGCACTTCAGGTTGCACGAACGAAGTGCTGGTAGGAAAAGCTCACAGAGAAACATTGCAAAAATTACTAACCAACAGTTTTGAATCAATGTCTATTTTCAGCTGTGACCTGCAGAAAATGAGAATACAGCCTGTTTGGTAGTCAGCACTGCCACAGAATTACAAAAGTTCCTCCTGCAGAACACACTCTCATCGCATAGGGCCCTCTGAAAGGCCCAAGAGCAATATTCCTGATTTAGCATAACTATTCAGTGCAACAGAACACACAAAGGTAATACTTAAATGTAAAAACAGAAAACGCAGCAGCCGATCACCACCTCAGATGTGAATGTTTCATCCAACAGGCAAAACTCTTCCAGGTTACCTGCACTGATTTTCTTTTTTAAGGTACTGGTCATATTATCAGGTGGTCCCTAAGATGTAAGGGAAAAAAATAAACAAAGAACTGCACAATGAATTACTTCATTACTATATCATTATTCATGAATATTATACTACAAGTAAGAAAAGGAACTATAGAACCCCTCAGAAACCAACTGCATTTCATCCCCAAAATGCCACGAGTGTTTCCTTATAGTAAGTTGAGCTTTGCTGGCAAAGCTGATGAAAAAGACCCTTGGGTAAGTATTTGTTTTTTCAGGGACAACTGAGCTCTGAAAAAATGACCAAATCCTCACCAGCACTCTGCTGAGGATGTGAATGGCTGCTAACCCACCCTGTGGAATGTGACACAGCAGCAGCACTGCAGCAACTGGAGCTACACGGAGGGAGCATCAAAAGTCGATGCCATAAAGCCGATGCCATAAAGGTCTCCCCACACAGATCTGTTCACAGCATCAGGTTTGTTACCTGCACTGCAACACCGTTTGCTTTGCAACCTCCCACTTCAGTTTAAACTAATAGCAGAAAATAACTCAATCGAGTTTTCTTTTTCTTGCAGCACACACGGAATGTCCCAAGCAACGTATGTTTTACATGGCACGTTACCCTGCTCTGCATGCCAAAAGCTACAGTTATTTTTTAACATGACAAATTTTGGTGCACATTTCTAGACCTGCGTGACAGAAAGCATTGGATTCTGTTTGCATCAGACTTACTGTGGAAATAGTTCCAACACAAGCTCCTGTTCAGGCATTTGCTCCTTTATTTCAAAGCTGCCTTCGGAAACGTTAATCATTTTCTGGCAGAATCCATATCATGTGAGTTTTCATCCTCCGATCCTTCAAGCTGCTCCAGGAGCACATCACAGGCACCACCCTGTACAGCTGAGGCCTCCATGTGAGGACTGGGATCCATTTTGGTGTAACAGGTGCAACTCCCAGCTGCTTTGTCAGGTGTTTGATAAAGGTGAGTAACACAACATACCTGTGCCTTGTACTCACAAACAGGTCAAGTTTCACCTACCTTCACGCCGAGGTGAAGTGTTAAAGCATGAGCAACCTTACAGCATTTTGCACCACTTAGTACACCATCAGATGCATGTGTGATGTCTTATGTGCAAAGTGTCTGTTCTGTGTACTCCACATGTTGGCCAATGCCACGTAACATGTATGTGCACATGCTGAATCAGTAGCCCTTTATTAACTTCAAGATAGGGGAAAAAACAAGTAATATTTGAAACAGAATTAAATATACAGTTATTAAGGAATTACAGTACTTCCAGATAAAGTTCTCCTCTCTGCTGAGGAGTCTGAGGACTGCTGAGCAGCGATTACAGCGCAACGCACAGCCCGCGTGGGCTGGCCTCTATCTTTCCTGACACCCTGAGGGCTGTGACACCTACGGGCCGATAACCCATTTGAGGGACACACCAGATGACTTACGAGCTTTCGCTTGGGGTAACTGCTTCCCCTGAGCTTTTCCATCGCGATGTGACGCAGGGCGTAGGAAAAGCGAAGATTATGAGATTCTAGAGAAAACCCCCCAAAAGCCAGCAGCATCACAGCAGCGCGGTGCAAGCGCGCCGAGTCATAAGTTGCAGAGTCTTGTGGTGTGTGGTTTTGTTACTTCATCCCAGACCCTGTGGTAACGAGGAGCAGCGCACCTTTCATCCTTCTGACCCGTAACGTGAAATGAGTGTGCTGTTACACTTGCAATTTGAAGTTTGGTGGTTTTCTGGGGGGGATATTTAGGCCTGCCTATCAGAATATAGTTACACTGATGAAACCTGCGTGTGTTTCGGTTTGTGGCAGTACTTTATTTCCTTCCACTTCCACCAAAGCTCGGCAGCCTGCGGCCCACAGCCACCCACTTCAAACTTCAGCATCCCCCATCCCACCACCCCGCCGGCTCCGGGACCCGCTCTGCCTGTGGCAGCACCACCCCGGGCGCGCCTCAGCTCCGAGCCCACACCTGCCGGAGCGGCACAACCCAGGGAAGGGAGAACCGGGGAGGGGGGAACCGAGGGGCCGCGGCCGAGCCGCGGGGCGCTGCCTCCCCGGCGGGCACGCCTCGGGCCTAGCCGCCGCCGGAGCAAGGCCGCCGGAGGGGGGCGAGGGAAAGTTGGCGAGCACGGCCGGCAGCCGCGCCGCCCCCTGCCCGCCGCCCGCCCGCCCGGCGGCCCCTGCGCACGCTCCCGCCCGCCCACGAGGCCCCCCTGGCCCTGGCCCTGGCCGGGCGGGCAGCGGGGAGGGAGGCAGCGCCCCGGCGGCCGCGGGGCTGAGCGGGGAGGGAGGCAGGGAGCGGGGCGGCGGCAGCGGAGGAGGAGGAGGAGGAGGGGGGTGGGAGCCCGCAGGTGATGGGCTGAGGGCGCGGAGCCCGGCTCTGTCCCGGCGCTGCCCCGGCCTCCCCTCGCACGCCGCCCCATCCTCGCCGCCACACCTAGCAACGGCGCTGACAGGACGCAGCGGCGGGAGGAGGAGGAGGAGGAGGAGGAGGAGGAGGAGGAGGAGGAGGAGGAGGAGGAGGAGGAGGAGGAAGCGGAATGGCTGCCGCGGCGGCGGCTCCCTCCCTCCCTGCTCTCCCTCCCTCCCTCCTTCCCCGGAGCCCTGACAGCCAGAGCCGGGGCGGAAGCAGCAGGCGGCGTGCTGTGCCCGTCCTCTCCTCCTCCTCCTCCTCCTCCTCCTCCTCCTCCGGGGCTCCGCACTCCCTCCTGCCCATGCAAACTAACTCCCCCTGGCCGCGGCCACCACGCGTCCCCCGCCCGTCCCTCCACGTCGCCCTCCCGCTGCACCTTGTGCCCCCACGCCCCCTACCCCGGCTCCTTCCCCCCCTTCCCCCTTCCTTCCACCCTGCCCTGCCCCTGCCCCGGGCGCTCACCGATGTGGTTGTCCTCGATGTGCTCGATAAGCTCCGCCAGGGTGGGGAAGTGCAGCCCGCAGCCCCCGAACCTGCAGGCGTTGGAGAAGAAGGAGGCGGCGGCGATGCCTGTCATGGTGTTACATCGAGATCCCCCCGCCGTGCCTGCTCTGCCAGGGCCGGCGGCGGCGGCAGGGCGGGGAGAGGCGGGGGCCGGGGGGAACGGGACGGCGAGAGGGAGATGGGGAGGGAGAGAGAGAGAGGAGAGAGAGAGAGGCTGGGGGTGGGGAGACGACGACGAGGAGGAGGAGGAGGAGGAGGAGGTGGCGGCGGCGGCAGCGTCGGGAGCGGCGGAGGGGAGGGGAGGGCCGGGCTGGGTGGGGGGAGATGAGGCAGCCGCAGCTGGGAGGAGGGACCAGCGCCGCTCCGTAACAGCTGGGCTACCCCGGCAGCAGCAGCAGCGGGAGCGGGGCAGCCCCGCACCGCCCTGCACCGCCCCGCACCGCGCCGGGGGTGGGTGCTGCAAGGGAGGCACCGGCAGCGCCCCGCAGACAACTTTCGCCCTGCAGTGGGGACGGGGCGGGGGGCGGCGCGGCGAGACGGCCGCCCCTGAGGGGAGGGGAGGCGAGGGGAGCCGCCCGCCCGCAGCCCCATGCAGGGGGCTCGCCCTCCTCTCCCACCCCGAGGCTTTACCTGCATGGGCAGGGGGCACCTGCAGCCGGGCCAGGCCTCCGGGGGTCGTCGTCCCCCCCCCCCGAGCACAGGGCCCACCCCGGGCCTGATCCCTCGGCTGCAGCCCCGGGGGTGTAAAGGAGGAGGAGGAGGAGGAAGGAGAGAGCAGGAGGCACGCACCTCGCTCTGGAAACCTATTTTGACTTTTTGTCTCCAGAAAGCTATTCAGCGGAGAGGCTGACTGATTAATTGATTTTAATGAAGGTCTCCCTAGGCTCAAATTCGCAGACAGCTTTATTTAAAATTAAAAGGGAAAAAAAATAAGAGAGTACTTGTCAGGAAGCCTCTTTCCTCCCCCCCCCCACTTCTGTTTTATAATCATCTTTTTCCATATTTATATAGTCCTACAATACTATTAATGATTTTGAGGAGAAGTGTAACTAAAAAAATCTCAAAATCTGTATAAAGCTCTCTTAATTGCCTAGACATAAATAACTGCACTGATCCCACTGATGGATAACAGCCCTAGACAGTTCTCATCTCTATAAAATTAACCATGTGTATAAGGATAAGCAGGATCCACATGTGTTTTATTCATTGTATTGCAGGTGGAGATGTTCTTAGCATTGCTGCAGGAGCTAAAGAACAGCCAAGCCTAAAAATGCAGTAGAATGATTAGTGGATGGAAAGATAAGTCCTTGCCCATTTAAAAAGGAAAAATCCTGGGCTGTGATGATAGTGCCCCGTGTATCACAGAACTTACCATTTGTGGTGACAGAAAAAAGCTTTATCTTGTACATTATTTTAGTCATCTCCTTACGCATTCACTTTAATATTCATGATTTTTTTTTTCTCTTCCAGTTGTATGTTTCTTAATGCAAGAACAAACCCTATTTTCTGGAAAAAATAACGTGACACAACCTTTTACTTTGACACATAGAACTTGAATTTGTAAACAGACTTTGCAAATAAACTTTGCATAGCCATGGGATGTTGAACCACACAACAATGTAGTACAGTTCACGCATTAAAAAAGGTAACAGACACATGGTAGTGCACAGAATGCTTTCAGGATGGAGGGCAGCAGTCAACCTGTAGCCTAGAAGGTTGGGGAGCTGCTGCTGTTAAACATTATATGAAAATACGTAACTTCTTTGAGTAATACAGAGGTATTTGGTATCAGACATCTCCCATTTGATCCGCCAGTTTTGAGTGTAACTGTTTTAGAGGTAAGTAGTCTCAAACGAATAGTCTCCACCATCTTTCTGTTACTGAAGAAACTTGCTCACGAAGAGTTGACTCAGCAAAGGAGGAGTTGTTCCTGGACCATGTTCCTGGAAGCTCATGCTGCAGGAGTTGCTGTCATGAATAATGCCACAAAGTTAAGTACATGCAAGTGTCCGTGTGATCAAGGCATAAAGCAACAGTGGGTGGGGAAGAGGAGTAATATGGCAAGGTAAGCATCTTCTCTAGGAAGTTGCAGTTTTGGAAGGTAATTTGTGTAGTCAGGCACATAGGCCTTTTTAAACCTGCAGTGGTTTTGGTAAGCATGGGTCCTCTGTGCAGTTAACAAGATCAGGACTGTAGAGTTTATATTTTTCTTTGTGCATGAGTAGGCACTGTCTCAGTGTAGATCAGCATAAATCAAATAGAAAACTTCTGAGGTAGGAAATCAAGATTAATTTGAATGTACATTAAATATAAGAATTTTCTCAGGGCTGATCTACCATGTTCAACAGATGCATGATTAAGTCTGTTAAAAAACAAAACTGTGATGGACATTGGTTTGGTGTCAATAGCTGGTTATAGCTGTTAATTTCTTTGTAGGTAGCAAGTGTTCTTTATTAAAGTAGTTTTGTAGCTATCAAGTAATAAACATTCGAGGTTAACCACCTGCTTGTAACAGACAATATTGTGATTGCTTTCTGATGTGTGAACTTGGTCAGTTAGCTGCAGGTCTCTTTTCATTCACTGTTTGCTAAATTCTCTGGAATTTTTAGACCTTTTGAGTACTTAACTCTTGCAGTGGTTGTGAGGAGCTGGAAAGTCAGGAGCCATTCAATGTCCCATAGGGTAAATATTCAGATCAGTATAGTTTTATGTAATTATTCCTCTTACTCTGTAGGGCTTGATTTTACAGATATTCAGCCTTAATGGCTTCACTAGAACTTGCTAGTTAAGTCACTTTTTTTTTTTTTTTTTCCCCTGATTTGAGCTATGGGCCTGGTTTCAATGTAAGGACAAGAGACTAGGTTCAAGACACGGGCATGAACAACCACAACGAAGAACGTCCTACACTCAACACTTCTTATCCCAGATTCAATGATCTTTTTGTCACCATCTGTGTATTACAGATGTGGAAAATACGTTATGTTCATGTAATAAATAGTTGTTGTAGAATAAACTACTACTCTTCCTCACTTGTACTTTTTGTTTGTTGTTTCCTAAGTATTACCTGGGAATCCTTTTTAACAAACTTAATATCACTAGTTTACCCAATCCAATATATCTTTAAGTCCTTTATTATGAATAATCATTTTCTTATTCAGGTTTTCCTGGGATAGAAACTGTGGTGCTCATACAACAAACTAAGAGAAAGAACTCAGAACTTACTCCCTTGTTGGTTTGTTCTGTGGGAGAAATAAATGCAAATTGGACCCAAATGATTTGTCAAGCTGGGACTAATTGCTGAGTAGATCCATTTCAGGGGTGATAATAGTTGTCTTAAAGGATACTTTAAATAAATGGAGCTGAGAAAAAAAGCTTAAATGGCTGGTAGGCCGCGCTTTATTTATTTTTGAAGAAGTTAATTTGAAGGCCACTAAGAAGACCCTTAGTTCAACAACCACTTCTGCTTAGGCAGGTGCTTGCACACAGCAGAGAGCAGGGCTGTATACAAGGAAAAGGATGTGCTATTCAGACCTCATTACAAGACTGAGGGGTGGATAGATTCCTAGGTCATCTGATTACCTGCTTAGAAATACGTATGTTAGGTCTGTGTCTTTTCTTCACTAACACTATGCCTTTGTGCCCCATTTAAACTCCATCTTGGTAAGTAAACATGTTTAGAGTAATTTTAATTAATTTCTTCCTTAAGCTGATGGTTTATAGTCATGGTTTGGTAAGATCCCTTATTTCTTTAGATCTCTCTTAGACCTATTCAACAACTTTTGACCACTGGTCTTTCTAATAACCAATTTCTACTAATGACTTAGTGGTTACATTGTGCTAATTAACTGCTGTAGCATAACTGCTGGGCCTTATCTGAAGATAGATTGCTACCATCCACTCACACTGTTCTGGATTCCTGAAAGCTGCTTATTCTATCCTCATGCTCTCTGGACTGCTAGAGGTCAGAATTGGAAACACTTGGTAGTTGCTGTCCTTGGCTCTCTGAGGGTGATAAAACTTTTGTTGAAAATATCACCCCCTGCCAAATATTAAGGAAAACCTAATACTTGGTTCAGAGCTTTATTTACAGTATCGTTTATGTAAAGTTCTTGTTTTCAGCTGCGTTTATAATAGAGCATTACTGAGAAGATTGTTATGACTCTTGTACAAGAATGACGTGAATCTGTGAAACTTTAAAATTACAGTCTTAATACAGTTCTGATTGTTAAACTATTGAAGTCATACTTGAAACATTTATGTTTTTTTTCCCCTAAAGAAAAAATAGTTCAAGGATAATTGAGTATTACAGAGAAATAGTTGGCAGCACCTTCCCCTAAAAATCACTTGTTCATCTTTCAATAACATTTTTTAACATTTCATTTCTGCTTCCCTCTACAAACTGGCAGTGTAAAACACATCTCACAAGTTGAGAAGAATTCACAACAGAGACACATCACTGCTGCAGAGTCATTATACAAGTAAAACATATTTATGCAGTTTGTGTCACGAGAATCCTATTTTTAATTTATACTGCTGAATTAGTTTTCTCTTGGCAGTGCACAGTGTAGCTTCAGGGTGCAATGGAAAAATAAAATGTTAAGCTGGGAAAGTACTGTATTCCCCACTAGTTCCAGATGCCCCAAAACAATAGATAGAAATCCTGCTTAGCTGAACTTTTTGAGAGACTTGCACATTTTCAGAAGGACAAAGCTTCAGATAAACCGGAGATCAAAGCTGCCTCTGTACTTCCAGTTACCTGTAATCTAGAAAGAAAAAAAAAAAAAAGAATCTTGTCTTATTTTGACTACTTCAGGAAATTTGGAGCTTACATGATGTTATAGCATAAACTGCTCTTACAGTGTTAGCCTGCCTTGGAGTTTTAAAATACAAGCTGTTTCAATGGTCTCTTCAAAGAACCTGCAATTACATCAGTATTAAATAGCCTACTCTATTCTTACTATGGGTTATAACAGCATACTTTTCTAAAACCTTTTATACTTTTTTACTCAGACAATTGGAGATAATTAACGTATACTTTTTGAAATAACTGGTTAGAGAAATAACACAATTTTGTATGCTTACCTCAATGAAAGGTAAACTTGTTCTTTAATTAAAGCTAATAGTCCAGAGTGAAACTTTCAGTCTAATAGTTTTTACAGCCTCTCAAAAACACAGAAGTGTCTCCCATTCTGAAATTTTTGTCTTTTCCACTTTCACTTCCTAAATTGAG